TATATATATATATATGCGCTGTTGCACTATTCGTTTTAATTGGATCTTGTAGGAAAGTTATATCATCAAAGTTAAGTTTTGCCTGCGCCGACAAGAATATGAACGCTCTTCTACCATCTATTTTAAAAATTATTATTAAAAGCCTTACTTTTCTTCAATATTCTTGAGAATAGTTTTTTCTCTTTTTTGTTGCTAACAAGTTCGAAACGCTGATTTTCTAAAATAAATCTTCTATCACTAAACTCGCGAAATTATACCGCGAGTGCTACGATACGACGTTTTGTAGACACACTATTGATAACTTTACCCATCTGTCCAGCAGTATGAATTTAAAGAACCAATAGCATCTAAAAATCCTTAAATGACTATAAATAATAGCAGAATATTAGTGTACTCTACCGGGATGGTTTAAATAAACGGATAATGATATTTGAAAACAGAAATTATTCGTGTCTCTATTTTTCTTTGAGACAATATTAATGGGAGTGTAATAAATGGTGACCAAAATCAACACTTCAAGCAAGGTGTTCATTATGGTAGTCTTGGCAGCAACCAGTACCGCTTCTGAATATTGAAGATTATTATATTAGGGTGGCTAATAACGTTATCAACTTAATCAAACGTTTCTTTACTGATACCTGCAGCTGTAAGATATATTTGCATGCCTGACAATTAAAGCATTTTGCATAGTGAAGGACCTCGGAGGAAAGATAAACTTAGCAGGTGCTTTGGAAATTATTTATTCCTAGAAAGTACATTTACTGCGCATTTGGTACCTACTTGCTTGGATGTTTATCTTTTTTTTTGCTTGCCTGATTGTATACTACGAAAAAATATCAACAAGTAACACTTGCACTACTATATTGAAACAGTAAAAGCGGATACGGTTTGTAATTTCCAAACAGTTAATCAGCACTTGACCTACTTTGACTTTTCAAAATTTTTAGCATCAAGTAACGCTCCTTAAAAAAAGGCACAAAAAGCATGATATAATACAAATCCTTTCAAGAAAATTGCTATCTTTTTTCACCTCTACACAACTTCTGTCTAGAAGACGTGCACTTTTAACATTTTATATCTCGTTAGAGGATTTTATCTTTTCAGGTGAAACTTAAAAATTTAGCCAACGATACAAACCAAAGTTTGAACGAACAAATGAACTACTCAAAGAAAGTTTTTGAAACTTTGCTTAAAAATATTGTTATGCAATTCAATGCTCGCTATCAAAAGGAGGTAGAAACTCGTCGAAGGCTGCACAACAGATTGATTGAACTTTTAGGTTGTTTAATTGTCTTTTTGGGAAACTTTTTGACAGAAACGAGCATTTTTAAGGGAATATAAGTTTACAGGTAATATTCGCGTATTTTGCCGCATCAGACCATTAAATATTAACGAAAAAAACCAGAGGAAGCTTATACGTTCAGATCCTGTAGATTCGGGTATCGTAATAGCGCAGACTTCTAGTGGTGAAAAAAAATTTACTTGCGACAAAGTATTTGGAGAGTGTAGTACGCAAAGCGACGTAAGAAGAACGTCATTAATGATCATTTTGCAGTCAAACTGATTTCATTCTCTAAAATTTTTGCTAGAACTGTAAAATAATCACTTTTTTTTAAACTCAATTAAATCAACCTTTAAAGAATTTAGCTGTTTGACGAGGTAGGCCCAATAATAACAAGTTGTATGGACGGATATAATGTTTGTATATTTGCTTATGGACATACTGGAAGCGGCAAAACATACACAATGGAAGTAAGTATTTAGCATAATTTTTTTAACAAGGTAGTAGAACTACAACAGTCATGTTATTAACCTTTTTATACTTTAAATTGAGAAAAATTATGTTAAACAAAAAATTCTAATCACTGGTGAAATATATCAGAACTATTACAAAATTCATGAAGTAGACGCATTGATTGCACTTGCTTATTCCATGCACTATTTTTTTCATCTACAATTTTCTTTTGTTTAAAACCTCCTAAAATGGTGCTTTTAGGGCCCAGATTGTGATCCTGGTATAAATCTCCGGTCATTAAAACAGCTTTTCAAGTGTACTGCAGAAAGAGATGAATGTGACTGGAAAATTAGCATATCGGCGCTAGAAATTTACAATGAGAAAATTAGGTGAATCATTTTTATTAAGCTTTTTAGGTAAGTTGTGTAGAAGACAAACCGCTTTGTTGGTTAGGAAAATATAAGTAAAATAAGTCACAATACCTCCTGTAAAATTTTTTGCATTCTATATTATTCTAGAGACTTGCTTTCGAAGTCAAAAGAGTCTTTATGCATTCGAGTTCAGTCTTCGGGAGCATTAGACATCCCAGGACTTACTTCTATTGAAGTTCACGATGTAGCTGGTGTTAATAAAGTGCTTGCAAAAAGTCATCTGAACAGGGTTTTTTTTGGCTAACAATTTTGCTTCATTCTTTTAAACAATTATTACCGTAAACTTAACATTTATTAGGTTTTTCCAGGTAACTGCAATGACAGAATTAAATGACCATTCGAGCAGGTCTCATGCTATAGTTCGTGTTACAGTTTACTCGGTAAATCGTACAACAAAAGCTACGAGACAAGGTTTTATTTTAAAGCCATATCTAGATCATAGATTTGAGACAGCTGCTTCTAACACTGCGGCACAACTCATAGGAACATTTTTTTGATTAAGGGACAAATTACTACGATAGCGAGGACTAGAGTTTCTCGTGTTGTCTAATTAGGGTTTTTTAGGGAGACTCAATTTGGTAGACCTCGCTGGTTCGGAAAGAGTTTATCAATCTGGTGCCACTGGACAGCAACTTAAAGAAGCTCAGTCGATAAATAAATCCCTTTCCGAACTCGGAAATGTTGTCAATGCACTACGACAACGATATCAACATATACCATTTAGAAACTGCCAGCTTACTCGTTTGCTGGAAGACTGTTTGAGTACGTCATTTATCTAATAATGCAATTGTTATCAGAGTGAAAGGCGTTGAAGTTATTATTGATTGCAGATGGCGACAGCAAAACTTTAATGATTGTACAAATCGCTCCAGGATCTGCAAATCTGCAAGACTCGTTAAGCAGCTTAAATTTTGCAGAAAAGGTTGGCAGGATTCAAACGAGCGCTGTTGCAACCACCATGCATGGGCACACGGTTTTGCCGTCAAAAACCGTAAAGTAAGAGTTGTTATATTATGAAAATTGCTGTCATTGAAATGTAAAAATTTTTGAGTTTTTAAAATTGAAAAGTTAGAATGCAACCAATAAAAATTGAAACCCAGATTAAAAACTTGCTGTCATCACCTGCTGCGTCTAGCTTCTGAATTAACTAAACCTAAGTTTTTCTAGAAACTTTAGGGCAACTGATGCAGAACACTTGGAATGTCATTCAACAATGATATATCATAATGATGAAAAACTAGGAGTGTAAACTGCATATAAAGTATCACGCAATAAACTCAAAAAAATTTATTTGTTTTTAGTCTGAGCGTAGTTACAAAGTGACAAAGTTTCTATCCATTTTTTTCAGACCGATGCTCTTGTCGCCATTTCTTCGTTCAAACAGTATGAAGAGGTCAAAAAAAGCCTATTCGCAGTAACTTGTGATTTGCTGTTTCTCGGTCACTTATGCTTTTTTTTTGCATTGTTTTTTCCTATTGATGTGAAATACCGCTGTTTCAACCCGGTACTCTTAGAAAATAACGCAGCTCAAAGTAACTGGTTAAAATTTAGCACTGATATGAGGCCCAAATAAAGAAAAATCGTTTTCATTTTTTGTTTTTGCACAGAACACAGACAGTAGGTTAAAGATTTGTCGATAACTGGGGATGACATCTAATAATACTTGACGCATTATATATACGTTTCCAGCAAATGCTTATTTGCTTTAAAAGGCTGTTGCCTTGCCAACGATCAAATACGTAGCGTTTCGCAACTAATTGAAAGGTCTTACATCAGCTTTTTAGGAGGTGATCAAAGCAGGCTTTCGTCAGAAGAATCAGATTTCTGCACTTATCCTTCTACTTTCCCAATTTTTTTTTTGCGACGGCTCTTTATTGCTTTTGTCACTTTACAATTAGTTAATCTTTCATTTTTGTAAAAACTGTTCTGGTAGAGCATTTTCAGCTAATTTCAAACAACGCTTAAAAACAGGTAAATAGTTTTGAAATATTTTTGGGTCGAGAGTCAACAGGGTTTGAATGTCAGACAATTGGGTTGCTGCTCTGCATGACTATGATGCGGGAGTAAATACTTTATTGGCATGTACTGCATTAACCGATCTGCAAGGTGATGGAGACTATAAGCTTGTGCTTGCGGATCTTGGCACTAGTCGATATCAGTTGCGATTAAAAGTTTATAAAGGAATTCAACTTGTCGGCGAAAATGTGCTCAACGAACTTCCGTCATCGCTTGTTTCTTTCAATAACGAAACAGTAAGCAATCAAATACTTCATGTTTTGGTTCAAAAAAATTGTTCAATTTGCTTTATCAAATTATTTAAACTTTAGCGTTGAACGGTTTATAACTGTGATTAAAAAACAGAAAATGAAACTGTTGAGGTGCTTTTTAGACGCAGTCTTCTCTTCCAGCCATAGGTGTGGCTTCTGGTTCAACGTTACTAATTTATAAAAATTTGAAACCTTTTTACAAATTCAATGTGCCAGCTCTAGAAATAAACAAATTAGAGGCTACAGCATGGGAAAAAGCACGAAACTCTGAAATTGATGCTTCACAACTGCAAAGTGAATTGTCAAAACTTAGAGTTGAGGTAGTTCATTGTTAAATTTTGTTTAAATTCCAGTTAAAGTGGTTCTTTTTTTGTTTTTACTTGTTACCCTTCCTTATCACATGCTTACTTTAGATTAAATTTCCAGCTGGGAGCAGAAATCTTAACGTCATTATCACAGACACTTCTGATTACGAAAGAAGATGATTTAGAACATGCCTTCAAAAAGTTTCTAGATATGAAGCTTGTTCGAGAAGATATTGTAACTTGCCTGACAACGATCAAAAAAAGCTCTTTAGAAGCAGAGAGCATTGATTACATCGTTATTGGAACAGAAAATGGCATGGTCTACTGTGTTGATACCCAAGCCTTTACCGTGCTTGCTAGATTTTCAACATCAGGAGCTGCAGTGTTCATTCATGCAGCAGGTGTCAAAAATTCTGAGACTTTTAGTATCTGTATAACGATACTGGCAGTCAACTGCCTTTAAAATAACTGTTAAATATGTTATAAAAAGTGAATTACTGTACTTCAGTTAAAAAATGTTCTACAAAGTTTTATAAGCTTTTTAAGAATATTTTTTACAATAGACAGCTGGTTTTGAGATGGTTAATATAATGCGAGCTTCACAGGAATGTACGATGTCGATTTCCGAATCTTTGTTTGTAATAGAAATTCGGAAATTTTTATCCTTAAACGTGGCGTCGCTAAAGTGAACAAGCCTAGTATTGTCCTAAAATCTGACGTTATTGGTCTTACTCGAATTAGCAAGCAGGTAAATCCATTAACTCAAAATGTGTCAAATTTTTGAAATAATAGTAGTAGATTATAGTTGTTTTCAAAAACTTTTTAATCTATAATTTACTTATTTTGCTTCTTATCAACTAAGTTAATGCATTAATATTGGTGTATTTTAGTTAGTCATTGCCACCGACGATAGAACAGTATTTTTTTATTCGATGAAGGGCAAATGTCTAAAACAAATGAACTTCTCTAGCCGAGTCGTTGGAGTAGAATTATTTCATTATGAACCACGACAATACGTCGGTGTTCTAATTGGTCTTGAAAAAGAGGTATAAGTAAGTTCTTTTTGAATTGCATTTATAATAATGAAGTGAACTACAATCAGTCATTGCTAGTGCGTTTTCAGAAATCATCATTACCATAGAAAAGCTCAATATGTCTGTGTCAAACGGGGAAAATTATAGGTTGTAAACTAAGTTGAAAGGCGGAGAAGGAGCAGTAATGTCAAAAGTGCGCCAAATATCGTTAAAATCTGTTGGAAACACTGAGATGTTCCTTGAAACTTGAAGAAACTGCCTTAATTACAGCTGTCCATTAACCATTTTTTTCAGATATTACTTTATCAAGAATATCTTCTCGTAGACCGCATAAGGTATCAGTGTACTATTAAATGGTTTCGGTTTGGTCAGTTCGGTCGAGAAAAAGCTGCCTTGGTTGTAGGGAGTAAAGGTTATTAAGTAGAGATTTTTTTGTTTATAGATGTTGTTTATTTTCAGAAATACTTTATTGAGTGAAAGAATTAACTTAAAAGATTTTTCAAATACATTTCACGAACACGTCTAACTGAACTTGTAAAACATGAGGTACCTTTAAAAAGCTCATTGAAATAAAACTGTGTTAAACCGTACTGAGTTTTGTTGTGAATCTCTGATTTAAACAGCACAGTTTAGACGGTGGCTTGATAATACACTTGTTTCGTAGAACGGCTCGACTGGAAGAAGCTCTGGACATCAAAACAGCTCTTCCAAAGCAGAACCAGAAGCTTAACATTCCTAAGAAAACAAAAATTTACGTTGATCAAACCATTCGAGAGAAAGAGCAAGCAAAAAGCATGCATCAGGTTAGGTACTGTTCTAGTAGAATTTTAAAATTTTGGTTCTGTAAGTCAAATTTCTCTTTTTTGTTTCGTACGTAACTAAGAATCGATTAGCCTATTTAAATCTATGACAGCAGTAAATTATAAAATTGTAGGCGTCTCTGAAGTTTTCCTCTGGTAAAAATTATGAACGTATTTTTGAGCAGCTTTTAATACTAAAATACCTCATTTTCAAAAATTTTGCAAAGAGATATGTTTTCTTAATTTTAAGGTTTATCAACGTGACTTGTTCATGCTAAAATTGACAACTGCTCGAGCTTTCGCAGAAATGTCGGAGCTATCACTAGACTCTTTAGCGATTGCGAAAAACAAAGTTGTGGAAATATCTGCCGAAGTCAATGGTTTTGGACCTGTATTTAGGCTCGGCACGGTTATCAGAACTGTAACGTAAGTCTTAGATGCTAATGAAAAAAATGAACAATATTACAAAAAAGAGAACTTGTAATGTCGCAGAAAAGCTGGATCTTTACTTCGTTACCATTCCAATAAAAACTTGACTTTTAAGCATTTTTTAAAACATTAGATTGTTGATGGAATTAGCTGACTAAACTTGCGAAATTGAAAATTTGTCAACTACATTAGCGTGTAGCTAACCACAATTGTTCTTCAAAAAGTTCTTCAAAAAATTTTAACTTTCTATGCAGCAGCAACTTCTCCAATAAACTAGGCCGTCTGCGTCGCTGTAAAGAGTTCTTTAACAACAATATTCATTTCCAAAAAGCCATTTTGAGACTCAGTCCAAGATGCAGTTATCTTGGCTGTTCTTTTTTGGAATATGCACTGAAGTGTCACAATGACGACGTTGAAAGCAATGAAAAGAAATAATATTTTGCGCAGGAGACAAGCAGAATTGGACAAGTGCTTTAGTGATTCAAACAATCCGACTCTTCTTTTGATTTCTGAAAATTTATTTGAATCTGCCACTTCTGCAACACCACTTGCTGGCTTTATCTCTTCAGGGCTCTCGCTATATCCCTCTGATGCAATTTTTATCCAATTTTTCCGAATAACTGTTATTTCCGCAACGCTAAAAAATTGTAATTGGCAAAGCAGTATAATAACTGTAAAAAAAGCCTGATAATTAGATGCAAACAGACATAAATTTTTTTATTCGAGGCGCTGCTTTACTTACTTCGACTACTTCCTTTTTTTTTTCACTAAAAAAAATTTGCTTTTTTTCAGGAACGAAGTGCTAGTTGGTCTCTGGCTTCTCTTTGAATACGATCAGGAGTTTTATGAATTTGCAGACGCACTTATTCCTTTGCCACATTTAGTTTCTGAAAAGAAGTATATTTTTGACACAACGGTAACATATTTAGAACCTGAACAAAAAATATCCAAGGAAATACGAGTCTACTTGACCGATAGCACAAAAATTTTGGTCTCAGCAGTCGTTGCTATGCCGGTCAGCGAAAATTCTCTAATTGATTAACATATGATTAACGTCATTTTGGTTTGTATCATAACCATATTATATCATCTTGCAGAATAAATTCTTGTGGTCATTGTTCCTGTCGACATAGTTGATCAGTTGTACTGTGATTAACCTTAAAAATAGAGAAGCAACATTCAAATTGTTTTTTGTTACTTTCTTTTGCTGTTTACCACTACAAAGGCATGAGAGTCCCTGATAAATTAATGTTTAGAGAAAGTGAAAAACAGTTGGCAGTAATTTCTGCTAGAAGGCATTTTTAACTGGTACAAAAAACAAGTAGTATCCAAAGTTCGTTTCGCTAACCACTGTCAAATTTCTTACGTCAGCGAATGTTACAGTATTGCAGCAAGAAAAATGCTGTTTTCAATTTTAATAAAACAAACAGGCAGGTGATTTTGGTGATAGAATTCACGCGCATTATAAATGTTCATTGTTGATGACTGTTTTTCAAGCGTTGCGACAATAGAAAGGTAATGGAGCGTAAAATTAAGATTATATCATTCAATTCAAAAGTGTAAAAAGTGATGATTATTGTTGAAAAGTTTTTCCAAACTTTTCGTTCTGTCTTTTATAATCAACAAGACCTTGGCTTTCTAAATTAGGAGACAAAAAAAAGAAAAAAGCTCTTCTTCAAAGTTCTCAAACTTTCTTTGCTCTTTTTTTTTCTTTTGTTGAATTAGACTCTAATACATTGTTTTTCCATTTCCATTTCTGCTTGTATAATTTGAACGCGATGTCATAAGATGATTTTTACAACTTGTTTCACATCTGCTAATTCCTCGCCAAAAAAGCCGGTATAAAACTTGCTCGTCAACATTTCTCTGTAAGGCGTATTTTCCGTTGTCAATAGAAGAAAACAATGGAAGCGGGTCATTCTGTTGTTACCAATTCTCTCAGTTGTACGGCACACCATAAACTTACAAAAAATACTGAACCATGAATACCGCAAAGGAAATCTCTAACCATTAATGCAGCTTTACCACCACACTGCTTCATTACGCAACCGCATCGTGAAAACAAGTCTTTGGTAACAATAAAAGATACTTTTCCTCACTCATTTTTTTGGCTTTACAATCACTCCCAAGACTTCTGGCAATCTCTGCTGCTACTGCTGAGGCAGACGAAGAAGAAAGACGCGAAGACCGCCGAAAAAACGTTGACATTTATACCGTGAATTCCAAACATCACCTAAAAAACATCAAAAATTAAGACATACACCTTACTTAAGGCTTCAAACACTTACTTATCTGTCTGCATGCTCAGTAACAGCAGAAAAGCAAACACAACCCATAAGAAGTAAGAACTGCTTTCACACCGCTCACCATTAAAATATTCTTCAAACCTGAAATATTCACGCAGATACCTGTACATATACAAAAATAAACATAAATCTAAAAATAAATATAAATATAAGCGTAAAAATAATTGTAAACATAAATACCAATATAGAAATAAATATATAAATGTAAATATAAATATAAATATAATTATTAAAATATATACATAATGTAATTATCTATATAAATATCAACACATAATATTTTACTAACATATATACCTACATATATACGAATATATATATATATATATATATATATATATAT